CAGAATCTGCAAAGTTGTTTTTTACGTTGCATGTGACATTTAACATGTTTTTCAATTCAAATTGACAGTTATTACCAACATCAGAGTCTTTTTCTGATGAAAAGGCACATCAACCAAACGCACCGAAAAAGGCAGACATGGTAAAAGGTTCTGTAAGACATTTGTGAAAATGAAAATGCATGTACATGTCATGACAACCCTACCAGTGAAATAGAGGTGTCCAAAACTCGCCTGAAGTCATTTTTGTTTTGACACAATCACCAGGCCACAACTTGTGAGAGATCAGAAGAATCAAGTCTTGGGACGATTGCATTTGCAAGTTCTCCAGACTTCAGGAGGGTAGCCAATCATTTTAATGTTCATGTTAGGACAATCTATCGACTGAAGGAGTGGTATCAGGTCACTAACAGCATCCAAGACCGTCCACGCAGTGGGCAACCTTTAGTAACATCAGAAAGTGAATACCAACAGATTGTGAGCCATCATCAGCAGGATCGCGTCCCCAGAGGAAGTAAACAGCACGCCAGACCAGTGGGACCCACAACAGACCCATCGATGCCTAAACAGTGCGACGACGTTTGCGCGGATGAAACCTCTGCTGTGACAGACCATACCGTAGTCTCACCGCTCATTACCGCCATAATCAACAGCAATGGGCAACTCTGCATCGAAATTGACGTTATCGACAATGGAGAACTGTGCTTTTTATCTCATGAAAGCCGATATTGTGTTTCGACAGTCGATGGCAGAGTGAGAGTATGGTGACGGTGTGGGGAACTGTTTTCCAATGAGTTTATTGTTGAAAGAGATTCGTGGGGTGGTCCAAGCATCATGGTGTGGGGTGCAATCGGTCTGAACTAGTTAGTTGACACCATGGTGTCCCAGAATCTCTGTCCAGGATGAGGAAATGATGTGACAGCTGCTCACTATATTGACCAAGTCATAAGACCCCACGTTGTACCACATTTTGGATGTTACAGAAATCACATCTTCCAGCAAGACATTGCTCGTGTCCACAATGCCAGAGCAAGATTGGACTTCCTAAGACAACATGACATCCAAAACCTACAGTGGCCTGCACTCAGTCCGGATTTAAGTCCAACAGAACACCTTTGGGACGAGATTCAAAGAAGATTGAATGACCTCCAACCATGGCTGACAACTGCGGCTGGACTTGATCTGGCATTTCACAGAATATGGACCCTAGTGCCTATGGCCTTCACCAACCATTCCAATTCATTCCATGTACAGACGATGCAATGCTTTCATCGATGCCCATGGAGGCCACATACAAAACTGACTTTTAGGTATTTTAATTGTACCAGTTTTGGTGATTTTGTTTGTGTGAACTCTAAATGTATTCCCGAAAATGTGTTAACCACAATTGTCAAGTTTGAACTCGATCCTCCGTTTTGATTGTTAATTAGAGTGAATTAAAGTGTGTGAGCTTTAAGAGACCGCTATCGGTGCAACATTTCTTTTGTGGTTCAGTATAAGAAACAGTATATTTATTTATAATGTTTACCTAATAATTACAAAGAGTCCCATAACTCTCTGAATTTAAAAAAAATAACAAAAAACCTGACACCAAGTATACTCTCTTGCTTTAGGATCGGTTATAGTGACCTACACCTTGACATGTATAGGTTATAGTAACCTACACCTTGACATGTATAGGTTATAGTGACCTACACCTTGACATGTATAGGTTATAGTTAGGTTATAGTAACCTACACCTTGACATGTATAGGTTATAGTGACCACACCTTGACATGTATAGGTTATAGTGACCTACACCTTGACATGTATAATGGACATATATTGGACCGGCCAGTCTGTCCCTGCTTATATCAACACATTCATATGGCTTGATGCCTGTGTGAATCCTCAAGCGTTTCTGCAGATGACCTGATCGTGTAAATGTTTTCTGACACAAAGCACTGGTATGGCTTTATTCCACTGTGAATCCTCATGTGGTCTGCAGAGTACCTGACTGTGTTTATATCAATATTTCAGAATTTCTATGAAGAGATGGGACCTTGTATTGAATTACCTTACTCCATGTGAATCAAAGAGGAAAACTATGTGAGAAGAATAGTGAATTACTGGAATATTGGAATATTGGACAGAGTGAAATAAATGTGTATTTTTTAAATATGAAAACATTATTTGTTTTAGATTTTTGTTACAACATGAATTATATACATGCAGGGGAGGTATATTGGTACATTTTTAGTGAAATAACACAACTGTCATTTTAATTACTTCACTGGAAATGATAGCAAGGTATGTCTTAATAATCTTTTGTCCTTCAGTAAACATGGAAAGGTAATAAACTTATTAATAATCTAATCAAGTTATTAATAATTATTTCATTAATTACATAGGATTACTATGATCTTAAGGCAGAACTAGGCAAACAAACTATACATATTATAGTAGAACAATCACTGGGTATTAACCTAGTTTGTTGGCTCCTGCCATAAGACATCTTTGGTTTGTTTTAATCCAATATTTACTAAAAGGATATTGCTGAAAGTGATTACTAGTATCATAACTCATAATAAAGTTATTTCAACATCCAGAGAATTTGAAAAATCAAAGGTTTGCAGGAAGTAAAGGTTTCAGGACATTTTCATATGTGTTTTTCGAAACTTTTCTTATGACTTAACCAATTTATTAAAAACTTACCTTTTTTATAACAATTAGTAAGTATCTCAGATCAAATAGATCAAAATTAGACTTATATCTTCTGGGCATATTGATTCATATCCAATAAAACAAAGATTATCATTGTTTAAAGGGCAAGTTTACAAGAAAATTACTCTTTTTGTCTTCCACTTTTTCATCATAAGAAATGTTTGTTAAGTAGTTTCATAGCCAAAACAATACACATATCAGAAGTAACTAATATATTTTTTGTGTTATATCGATTCAAAGTTTCCACATTTACCAAGTGTTTTATTTCCACAATGAACACACCATGGCTTATGTCCCTTGGAAATGACGTCTTGGTGCTCAAATGATAAACGAATGACGTTGTTAGAATTTATTAGGTCTACCCATTTCACGCGGTGCAGATATAGGTGTGGTTCTTGTGTCTCGATGCGCAGGCTACCGTTTTAATCCACCTGTTGCCTGGCCGTCAGCTGGCCATGTGGTCAGTCCCATACTGTTACATTGTACAAAAAGTGTTACCACATAACCAAATTGTATAACATTCAACCTGAGTCGGTCTTTCCAACCAGCAAGAACTCCTTTCACCAAAACTCAAAGGTATATGCACTAAATCTAGCTTGCCATCAGTGAATGTGAAGGCATTCTACATTTGGTACATTCCTACATAAAACGTACAATACATTTCCCCCCTCTTCAGCCTTCACTTAACTTTGATGTCAAAACCATCTCCAAATACATCACAAAGATAAATGCAGTTCGCAGTTTTGAATTCCGTTAAAATTCGTTTTTCTATGATGTCATCCGGTCATTGTTGGGCATATCTACTGAACGTTACATGCATCGTAAATCTCATCAGCTTTGACACATTACTTAATTACAATTCATTGCGTTTTGCGTCATTTATAATATGTGTTACTAGATAAATGTTGAATTTTACTGGGAGAATTAGTGGGTTATTTGGGTTTTTTTAAAATCCTGTATATTGTGGTCACCGGTATCTGTTGTTGTTTGATGGAATCACCAATTCTGAAACATCGTCGATGAACCGAGAATCGCTTTGAATATTTTGGAAATGTCAAAGTGACTTTTCAGACAGGGTGTTTATAAAATCATGTCACACGTTTGTCGGTTATGTTTTGCCCATTACATCACAACTATAATTCAAAACCATCTTCCTTACATGAATCCTTGAATTCCTCATACAGTTCAAAGTAAAATGACAAATGGTCTTTGCCACCAAAAACCAAGTGTCCCAGTGAAATCTAGCAAAATATATCAAGTGTCGCACTCTGAAAGTGCCAATCGTTTGAAAGGTAAACAAAGCCCATCTCAGATTATATATGTTACAGGGAATGTGTGAAACCAGGGATTTCACGTAATCCCTGAAAGAGTCAGTGATTTCATGAAATCCCTGAGACCCCCAGGGATTTCATGTATTCGCTAAAATTCCAGGGATTTCATGAAATTACTGAAATATTAGCTCAGGGATTCCATGAAATCCCTGTAAGCCCTTATTGAAATAGAGAACACCAAATTTATAATGCGAGTACAGAGTATATCCTGATAAAATTCATTTGTTGGGACAACATAGCCTGTTATTATACAAGCTATTACACTTCAGTAGCACATTAAAACATTTACCGGTACAAGGTATCGATTTACACTGGTTAGGACAACAGTTACATTTCTGGAAACCCTGACCACCACAATTCAACTCGAAAATCACAGCTGTGTGGAGAAACAGTCCATTGTCACATTATTCGTAGAAAGAAAATGTTGAGGACATACATGAAATATGTGCTTTGAAAAATACCTTTTCCTTCCCAAACCCATATCCCCAAGCTCTTCTTCAACAGCGGGATGATGTATATTCCAAGTTATTTCTATGAATGACCTAGTCTGTTTAAACTTAAACGTCTATTTTCAACAAAGAAAACGAATGATGCTATATCACTGTAAAATTTTGAGCCATTCCGTACGGAATTATGAGATACATTTGTGCCACAATATACAGAGTATAATATATGAATATTAAAAATGCAAAAAAAAGGGTACAAGTTACATTAAGAAGATATATACAAATTTGCAGTACGCTTTTTAAGAATATTAAGGCAGGTTTTCTGGACAAGCTAGAAGAAAACTAACTTTTTCAATATACCCAGATTTTTAAAAAAACATCTAAAAGACTTGTACATTTAGATTAAAGTTGCAATCGCTCATCAGCATACAAAGGACAATGCAATAAAACATGACACTCATCTTCAATAAAATCTTTACAGTTTCGATTCTAAGCGGCACTTCCACACATCTAAACCCGGTTGTTCAAAACTCGGTTATCTTTTAACCACTGGTTAAATACTCTTAACCGGCCGTTAAAGTTAACCAAGTGGTTAAAGCGTTTCTCAAAACCCGGTTATCTTTAACCCGCCGTTATCTTGGTGTTAAAGTTAACACACCTACGGACCGCCGCTAAATAGTTAACCGGGTTGTTTAACATCGGCAAGATGGCGTTGATCATTCAACCGAATGCTGCGTTCATGGTGCCGTTAAAGAACCAAGGACAAGAGAAAGTTTACAGAGCTTACGATTTAAACATTCTAGGCTATTCGGACAGTGAACTGCGTCGGCGTTACAGGTTTGGAAGGAGGTCTATCGAGTATTTGGTGGATACTTTAAGAGACGATCTTAAAAGACCAACAAATCGCGGACACGCACTTACAGTAGAGCAACAAGTTTTAATTGCCTTGCGATTTTATGCGAGTGGGAGTTTTCTCCAAGTGGTTGGGGATACCTTGGGTGTGGACAAGAGTTGTGTTTCACGAGTGGTTAGAGATGTCACTGATGCCCTCGTTGCACGCAAGGACGCTTACATTACTTGGCCAACCGACGCCGAGCACCTGCGTACTATACAGAGTGGATTCTACCAACTCGGTGGGTTTCCTAACGTAATAGGCTGCATAGATGGTACACACGTAAGAATCCAAGCTCCAACAAGAGATGAACCGGCTTATGTGAACAGAAAAGGTTACCACAGTATCAACGTTCAAGCTGTATGTGATCACGAAGGTAGATCTATAGTATGGCAATATACCTGAGAGTGACTTCCCTTGGTTTATATAAAATCCATTTCTGAAAAAAAATACGCAATGCGTGACATTCCAGAATGTGTTCAGTCAATTCATGTATTTTTTGTCTAAAGTTCACTTCATATCAACATATATGAATCATAAATTGTGAGGAATAACTGTAATCAATTTAATGATCGTAAAAATTGACAAGTACACTTAATTTGATGTATTTTAGTGAAATGAAGCACTAAAAAAATGTGACTTTATAAAGCTTGTATATACACCTGCTTTGCAGGAAGGTTAACAAACGTGTGTGCCAAGTGGCCAGGTGCAGCTCACAACAGCCACCTATTCCGGACATCTGCACTCTGTCATCATCTTGAGCAACACCACACAAGGATTGCTGACGGTTTCATTTTAGGAGACAACGGATACCCGTGTAGGCCTTTCCTCCTCACGCCCTACTTTAACCCCCATGGACAACCAGAACAGAGATACAACGACAGCCTATGTGCGACACGTGTGACAATTGAGAGGACATTCGGCAGGTGGAAACGACGTTTCCATGTCCTACACTCTGAGGTAATATTGATACTGAGTAAAGATATGTTTCAATCCTCAGAATTTTCTCACACATTAAATTACGAAGGAAAATATTATTATTACATAATATTATATATATATATACACATAAACACATATATAACATATACGTGCACACACACATACATACATACATACATACATACATACATGTACATATGTGTGTATATATAATATTGTATGTATGTATCTCATTATTATTGCAACAGGAATAGATATGCCTAGGAACAATCAATATCTAAAGGACAAAACAACACAAGTGTACTTGTAACATATAATTTATTCAATACAACACAAAATAATGCAAATTTAACAGATTATCAAATAATAACAATATAAAGATAAAGAATGATAAATACCCAAGATCTAAATTAAACTCTTAACAGAGGGGAAGTAAGTGTAGATCTCAACCATTCTTCAAGTTCACCCTCCATAATTTTCTTCTCGTGTATTACCCAATAAATTCCAACACTAAATAATTCAATGAAAAAAATAATCACAGTCCGATAGTGAAAACATATCTTTATTATTTCATATAAAAAATTCACTAATATGAAATTCAACATATTTCCTTTTCATTGAACAGTAAAAAGGATTTGCAGTAAACCTTATGTCAACACCTCCTTCTAAATATAATAGCTTTAAGCTCAACATCACACATTCCTTCTTTTTGTTGGGAAAAATATATATTGCAATGTAAGACATCATAATAATTTATTGAAATATTTAGTTGTTATTTCATTATATCACATTGAACACTGGAAAAATAACAACACCTCAAAGTCCCAGAGGTAATGGCCCAAGGAATATCCTTAGCCTGATTATACCTTCTCTTATAAGTGTGTAATGCACTACTTTAATACTGTATGGGTTATGCTAGACTATAATGTTTGCTATGCCATCACTGATATTCCATTGTATTACATTATAGTGTTGGGAACTGGTTAAAATCTCACAATTGATGATTGGTTCATTACAACCGATCAATCATCGAAGAAAATATAGAAAAAAACATGTAGTTCTTTTGGGTTTTTGGCAAATTGCACAAAATCCATTTACAAATTTTACATCTTTAAAGGATGACTAGTATGTTAGGAACATAACTTTCCTGGAATCTGTATGATAAATTCAATCATGACAAGGAACGAGCTTGTAGTAGTTATGAAATGTAACATACTAAACCAACCTTGTGAAAAATGTTGTGAATATACTTTCTCTTGTAAGTGTACTACACACTACCTGCTGTATATGTCATGCTAGTCCATGTTGCTTGCTGTGCCAACACTGTTACTCCATCAAACCAAACTTATATACTTTTGTATATGCTCCACTGAAATGAATGAAAATATTTGGGAATAAAAAATATTGAAATATTTTGTTCAACATCCCTGAAATATCCCAATATGAAATTAATATTGTCCATTAATTACATACATGTACTGAAATATCCAATATGAAATTAATATTGTCCATTAATTACATGTACAGTATATATGTATCAAATATCTATTTGGATATGTATGTGTAAAATCTCATAATTGAAATACATTATGAAATTAAATATTTAATAATTCATTATGAAGCTCAAATGTTCATGAATTTACCTAAGTGTTACTGAAAAATGACATACAAAAAAGTAAAATATGTATTATTCCTTCGAAATAGGTGAGGATGGAACCAAGCCGAGTGTGTTGCATTGTTGTTGCTTGTGCTGTCCTGCACAACATTGCTATTGACATGTGTGAGCCTGATGATGACAGAGCCAACATAGATGAGCAGCCACCAGTTGAGGCATATGGAGGAAGACATGATGGCAAGGGGATCAGAGATCATATTGCTAGGACATTTTTTGCACAATAAAGTGACTTAAACCTATTGACATTTCAAATGTTGCTAACAAAAACTTTTAAAAGCAAAGTAATTAGTGGATAATATCATGTAATGTTCTGTTAACAGGCTAGTTTATTGTGATTGTGATTAAAGTGAGAAGAAATGTTGTGTTGATTGTAATCCTTTCCTATAACTTGACTAAAGTATTTTAAAATACACTGATAGCTATCACCTATGTGTTTATACCTATGTTACTTCAGTATGGAACTAACTATTTCAACATGGACATGAGAAGCTTTGATGAGCTGTCCATATATTCACTAGTACTGTCAAGACTTTTTTCCAAGAGTGTAATCTGCAAAGCAAGTTTTCTTTTTTTCATTGCTTGAAGTTCAAGTTCCCCTGTCAGCACTTGTTGCTGGAGCTGGTATACTTTATCAACAACACCATGCTCTTTCCTGCTGAACATTTTAGATCTTGATTTTGAGGATTTACCACTTGTTCGCGGGCTTGATGTTGATGTCGATGCTGACGTCGGTGCTGGTGTTGATGTCGATGCTGATGTCGATGATGATGTCGGTGCTGACGTCAGTGCTGATGAGGATGCTGATGTCAATGCTGACGTCGGTGCTAATGTCGATGCTGATGTTGATGGCTGTGCAGCTTCCTCAGGGTTGATAATGGGAGGTGGTGTCAGTATTCCTGATTCTGGAGGAATATCAGCCTCTAACAGATTGCATGTGCTTTCCTCATTGCCTGAAAATGTTTCAATTTTTGTTAAATGTCAGAACTTAACATCAATCTTTGAATTAAGGCAAATCTAAATTTAGTGATTCAAATTAAATTTAACATATATATGATTACTTTGTCATTTATTTGTTTTTTCATTGTTAAATGTAATGCAAACTGAAATGTTGAATGATCAGGATCTATATATTTTATCAACTTTAATTAAAATACACTTTTAAATTTGGTAGAGATAATGAAAATAATGTATACAAGCATGACCTATAGGGATTAAATTACAGTTTAATTTAAACAGAAACACGTTAATGATAAGTATTTTTTTAACATGTAATTCTACCTTACATAAGTCTAATTTCAATACGTAAAATTTAAGCAATCTTGTTTTTTCGTATTTTGGGTACTCACCACGCACCTACCACTGACACGAATGACTGAGTTTTGGTTACGCCTGGTAATTATATGGATACTCTAGCAATATCGACAAAAACTTTGGATCGACCACTTGTAGAATATTGAGAAAATTGCATGCACCAATTACATCTATGATCTTGTGTTGTCGAAGGACTAAAACAATTTTTACAATTATGGGCTCGTTGTACCAGTGAGGTTGAAAATAATCGTTCTAGATAGGATATTAGAAGCTACTCACAGTGTCTCAAAGATTGAATTTGTTGAACAAATATATATTATATTCCCCACAATGCAGACTGTAACCTTTCGCTTTCAAATGCAGCTTATCACGATTGAACATTGACAACATCTCTCACCCCAAATACACCAAGTTCAAGGTCGCCATTTACTAAAAATAGAGTGTAAACACAGCGTGCAGTGACAGACGACACAAGTGATATAAGGCTTGAGAAAGCGATCGGATTCTGAGGTAGATCTATTCATTAAAAAATATTATAAAACAATTGTCGGTCATGAAAATAGTGCGTCAACTATGTTAAACTTCCATTGAAACTTACTTTCATTAAACCCCGTTTCGACTCCACCGAACACTCCGCTGAAGCTGGCTGTGTCCCGCATGATCTCGATTATTCGAGTAGTCGCCTGGCTGGGCTCTGGTGGGGGGCGGGCCACCTCCCGTCTTCCTTGCCTGCATACGAAAGTCTGTAAATACTTTCTTTGCCTTACGGGCCATATTTGTCCATTTTTCTTTCACCTCGTCAACGGTTCGTGAAGCAACGCCTCTCGTATTGACTTCTTTGGTAATTTGCATCCAAATTTGATTTTTCTTTTTTCTAGTTACCTCGTTACTGTGCTTTTCATTTAATATTTTCGAATTGCCCTCCACACAGCTTTGAATAGTGTTTTCTTCCTCCACCGAAAAGTTCCTACTTCTTTTCTTTCTTGGTTTTAGGTTTTCAGGCGGTGATATCTCGTTTGGTGCCTCCATTTCTGACATTGGCGGAAGTAAACAAACTATAGCATTATGGGATTGATAGAACTTTAACCACGACTTTAACCACGACGTTAAAGATAACCATGACGTTAGTAAACGGCAGTGTTAAACATGGACTGTGCAACGCTCTTTTAACGTTCGGTTAGCTAACGGCGGGTTAAGGATTTAACAGTCGGTTAAGAGTTAACCGAGTGTTAAGATAACCGTGTTTTGAACAACCGGGCCCAGGTCACTTAAATGTCAAGGCCATCTATGGCCGACAAGTGAGTATGATATTGCCGATGGTTTGGGAGAAAATGCCTGCTTACTGTCGAGGAAATGATCAGTAGATGTTGCAATAAGTTTGTAGACCTGTGGAATGCCGCTGCCAATCGAATCTAGCCCTACATAGGTGTTGTCAACGTGGCTGGAATTAATAAACGAATTTAAAAGGTGAGCTTTCGCTGTCTTGGGTGATCCATGATTTTGGCTTGGAATTGCGGAGGTAACTGTTTTCGGTGAGTCGTGGCGTATAACTTTTGAAATAATGATCCAATTGTGACCATTTATAGCTCATTTTGTAGGGAAATCATCTCGCTTTTGATCTGTAGGCCTCGACGGGGCCTTAAAAATAGTTTACGTGGTGAAATCTAACTTTGATTGAGGAGGGGGTGGTTCCGTCGTTACATCCCTTTGCTTTTATATAGTACTAGGGTAGGGTCTATATACCTATATGTCTTTCTAACACTGTTTCTAAGCGTGACACGCCCCTGTGGTTTACTTGGCAAACAGAGGCCTCATAATGGCATAACATTTTAGCACTTATAGAGCGGGTTATACATTCATTGTAAGAAAAATGAGTGTATTTTTTCAAACACTGATATTAAGTAATAAATAAATTCCATTTTGGTTCCCATAAGAAAAAACGTGATTTTTTCGTCTACACTTCACCTTTAAGAAGTAATCATTTTGTCAATATGTAATTGTATTGTTTAGTGTCACGTCACCCTAACCCTAACCAAAAGTAATCTCCCATGCTTTTATTAGTTTCAAAGATGGCGGAAGGTATCCGGTATTCTGTAATCTTACCCAACTAAAGTGGTAGTGAGTGAAGTTTAAGGCTTGATTCATCTAAACGCGGACACATCCAATGGAAATCATTATGCGGATTTGTGCATAAATGAATAAACTGCTGCTACAACGTAGTACAAGTCAGATTTAGATTTTTTGGCAAACGTGTTTCATGAATTTATACAGTCCGTTCCGACTTGAAACTCGTCGGAAGTCTGCGCCGAGAAATTAGGCTTCATCGGTTAAACGTTGGGTGGGCCATAGTAAATATTTGACAATAAATGACTGACTGACTGACTGAGTTTAGTTTTACGCCGCTTTTCGCAATATTCCAGCAATATCACGACGGGGGACACCAGAAATGGGCTTAACACATTGTGCCCATGTGGGGAATCGAACCCGGGTCTTCGGCGTGACAATAAATGAGCCTTACCACGACATTTAACATTGTTGAACTATGTCAGGAGGAAGCATGGTCCAGCATATAACTAGACGACTTTGCACCTATACAGGGCTCCAGATAAGGGCCGTATCGGCGTATGTAGGGATAAAATAAATGCACGATACGGTAGGAAATAATTTAGAAAACGTAGCACATACGCACCACAGCAATGCTGTACGGACTTGGAATCATTTACAGACGTATTTATCTGAAAAAGTGTTGTTTTATTGTTTATTGACCTGTTTACACAAGAGTAGCAATGGTGTGGTGCATATATGAAACGAAACACAGGATTACTGATACGCCATTAATTTCCATTCAGTATACTCAAAATGTACTCTTAAGTTTTTCCAGTACTCCTATATTGAAAAAATAAGGAGTACGTACTCCTGATGTTGAAAAATTATCTGGAGCCCTGCCTATATACCAAGGTGTAGGCCTTGGCAGGAATACGAGTTTATTCATATGAACTAGAGGCAGCGTTGCCTTGCTCCGAGAAGCGCATCCGACCCCAACAACGAGCAATGCGAGCATGGTCGACAATGGAGATAGCGAACGGTAACATATGATATGGATACTTACGATCATGAACAAACGAGACACAGCTCCAAGATTAGATGATATTGGATGCTCTACCTTCGAATTGTAATATGTTGCATTTACTTACGTTCTAGTGCCACCACTATATACGACCTCAGACATCGGCGTGAACAATAATATGACGACCACATTTTCCGTTGCGAGCGCCTGTAGCTATTTTTAGAAAAGACTGGTTTCCTGCCTCTCTCCTCAAGGTCGCGTACCGATCCGTCGAATTTCTGATTTCAAAGTAGTAAAATGCATTCGACGGATGAGCACTGTGATCTTAGCTATTAATTAGTTATCCAAACATTGGATCATACCAAGAAAAAGACGCAAGGGGTGTTGGATGGTTTGACTCTCTTTATTTTTGTACTTTTGTACTTATCTTTGCCTACTCGTATGATACAATGAGAAATTGACGCATTAAATATATGTTTGGAGTCTCTTTATATTTGTACTTTTGTAGAAAATTAAAATTGATGCATTAACCCTTGCCTTATGGAGCGGGTTCCAAACGGACCCAAAGGCTATAAATATTGTGATAGAATCGCTCAGTGCAGTAAACTATCTTCATGGGACGTATCTTTTCAAAAATCAGGCTTAAGATTTAGAAAGAATTTCCATTATAAAGTAGTTGATGTGTTATTGCACATACCCTACTGAGGACTGACTGGGCCCATGCAGACCCCACTGACAAATCTTTGACCAGCATTTAGAATGGCTCAAGGCAATCAGATTCATTTAACCTTTTTTGCGGGTCTTCTGTGACCTGTGTGCCTATAGCACATTCTAAATGGATTAACAAAACTTATTTGAACTGATGCAACGGGAGCTTGGTTTTGATCACTCTGATGAAAATGATGGTGGAACTGATGACGATCATCAACCATCTGAAGGATCTACAAGCACATATTGCTACTGTGACCTAGAGGATGACCCTACTTCCGACACCTTAATTAATGTACTTAGACTCTCCCAGGATTAGCACAGAACCATTCAAGCATGATTCGACGGATCGGCACTGCTGACTGTTCAAAAATCGACGGTTTAGTCTTTATTCGCCTACAAAAACAATGTAGGCGAATTGGGATTAGAGAATGCACCCCTACTCTTATAATGAACCTGACTCACTGAGTCTTGATCGACTGTTGTTATAAGGATATGTAGTTGAGTAAACAGGATTAGTGCGTCCACTGAGAAGTTAAAACAGGGTTAAAATAACATGACAGGGATTAATGCATGCGATGATGAGATGTAGTTAATCTTCACAACCGCAGAGATGATGGATATCCTTGCTGTGGCTGAAACAGTGTACATGGATGGAACATGTTATGTGTGCCCTAGTCTCTGGACCCTAGTGGTGGTCCGATTAATTGAAATAATCGAATATTGGTCGCAGTGACTAAACGACCAAGCAATCGATCATGATTTCTCATAATCGAACACAAACAATTCTGGAACACTTGTTTTCATCAACAATATTTTTCACAAGGTTGGTTTTATCTATTACATTTCATAAGCACTACAAGCTTGTTCCAAGTCGTGATTGAATTCATCTTAAAGACACCAAGAAATTTATGTTCCTAACATACTAGTCATCCTTTAAAGATCTGAAATTTTGCCCCAAACACCCCCCAAATAACTACGTTTTTTCCTTATTTTTTTGTGTGCATTAACAAATTCATAAATGACGCTAACCAATTATTTTCGATGATTAGGAGATTTTAACCAATTCCTAACACTACTGGACCCAAGTGTATGTTTTGCACTGCCTTGTACAGGACCAGATGTATCCAGTTGCCTTTTCCCTACTTTTCAGCAAATCCCGTGACACATATATCAGACTGTTTACTCACTTAAAGGATATTGTGCTTACAACGGTCGGTGTCAATCTCTCCCCTGCAAACAGACTACGAAGCTGCTGCCATTGGTGCCATCGAAACAGTGTTCCCCAGGTGCTGATATCCGTGGCACGCAGACAGATCAATCATGGAGTAGCTGTCCGCCCCAAATCAAGGATCTACCAAAACCTGGAGAGTCGCTTGGACAGACTTAAAGAGCAACTTGCTTCTGGGAGAAAATCACCTCTTCAATTCCTTGACGCAGCTGGTCACCTTATCAACTTGAAGTGAGAATGGACAATGTCACGATTGTGATCAGAAAATGATGAGTAACAGAAATAAATAAATTCTTTTTGTTCTTCAACTACTTCAACTAGAAGAGTCCGTTTTAGATCATAGGGGTGCCACTAGCTCACCATTGCGTAATCAACAGTCAACGGACCATGACATGTTGTTTTAAGACTGTAGGCGAAATGGGATGTAGGCGAAATGAGAACATACCAATCCTCCTCAACGACGTGTCCCCTAGCGGCTCCCAGTAGCGAAGGCAGTGGAGCGCCAGCGCAGAATACCCGAGGAACCAGGCTGACACGTTACCAGTGACCGGGGACGGTCTGTTTTTACTGCGACCCGGGAATGCTAAAAACTCGGGCCAAGAAAAGTCGGTCCGGGCCTCCGGGTAATATTAAAAGGGATTACAGAATATTAAAACGAAACCTGCGCATTTGAGTAGATAA